AAAACCCAACAAAACAAAACAACCCAACCCCCAACCCCACCCCCCCAAAAAAAAATCAAAAAATCAACAAAACCCGAACAAAAACCCCGGCAGAGCAAAAGCTTAGAATTGGCTGAGGTTCAGCTTATTAGAGGATACGAAGAAAACTCGTGGGACCTGAAAGTGAGCCTGGGGACGGAGAGTCGGCCGAAGACTTCTGTCAGAGAAGCGTTGCTGTTGCTGTGATCCGCCTCTCCACCACTGTTGCTGCTGCCGCTGCTGCTGCTGCTGCTCGCATCCGTCTCGGATCCCGAAAAGTTGCTGTCGTTGCTGATGTTGGCGGCGGCAGGTGTGGTGGTGGTGGTGGTGTTAGTGGTGGTGGTGGTGATGGCAGCGGTGGCAGGGTTGGTAGTGGTTGTTGTTGTGGCCGCGATAGCTGGGTCATCTGCTGTGTTGCTGGTTCTGGCAGAGGTGGTGCTGGCTTTGTTGTTTTCTATAGCGTCTTGCTCCACTGCGGAAAACGACAACATCTTCTTCTTCTTCTTTTTTTTTTTTTTTGGGTAAGTGTTTTATGGCGCTCTCCACAGCATAAGGTCATATGAACACGCGGGACACACAAAACATTTCAGTTGGTAGGAAATTTTGAATTTTGCCTCGGTGGCGGCCGAAGCCTACTCTTATCGATTTTGGACCACCAAGGGATCTTTAACGTGCACAACTTGACCTCCGAGATTTTTTGCCTTTGTCCGAGAAGGCTAGGTGTAGTGTAGATATTTCCTACCATAAGATCAGGAGTGTGGCTGAAAGACAGTAGTTAGATGGGGCCAGGGAGTAGCAGTAGAAAGGCTGCAGAAAGAGTCAGGAGCCCAGAGGAGGGGGCAAAGGGGGTGAGGGGGTGGGGGCAGAAAGTGGAGACGAAAGTAGACGACAGAACATTGCTTGAGAGCAGGTGATGAGGTGAAAGGAGACCATTAATTAGAGAAGACAAATTTTTTCCGTCGCTATCCGGATTTGAACTCGGGATCTATTGAGTGAGAGGTGAACACCTTAACCTCCAGGCCACGAGAGCCCCCAACAACATCTTCGATGTGCGCATCATGAAAGATGGTCATAAGTCAGGTACAGAAATGTTTTCGTTTTTTATTGTTGTTTCAAAATGTGGCGGTAAAGGACTGGTTTTCTGGAATCTTTTTTTAAAGAGAAGGGAAAGGAAGGGAAGAGAGGGAAAAAAAGTGGGGATCTTTTTTCGGGGATGTGAAGAAAAGGGGTCATGGAGAGAAGAAAAAAGGGGGCAAATCTTTATTTGAGGATGGGAAGGAATGAGGGGTGGGGAAGGGGGTGTGG